TTTTATTCCTTCTTTTGAAAGATCTTGGCTCAAATCTGTAGTTAATGTTTTACTGATTGTTTTCTTGATTCTTTGGGGGGATTTTTTGGTTCTTTGTATAGTCTGGGTATTAATATTCTATGGGATATATAGCTGAAAAAGATTTTCTCCTACTCTAGAAGATTCGGCTTAACTAAATTGTTTCTTTTGCTGCACAGAAACTTTGTAGTTTTAATATGCACCATTTTTGTTGGACTAATTCCTGAACAATTGAGTCTTCTTTGAAAAGTCTTTTCTTATTCCTATATTTTGAAGAGGTACCTCTGATCAAACATTAAAATCTGTCCTTTCCTACACTTCAGCCTTAGGGAACATAGCTGAACAACAGGAAAGAAGGTTTTAAGAGCCAAAGGACCAGAAAGTCTCCTATAGGATTGTGTCTCCTGGTAATGTCAAAAGCTGTGTCCATAAAGTCTCACCAGCATGACTGCCTAAACATGAGTTGAACACAACAGAAATAACAGACATTATAGCCTTCAAGATCTTCAAGTTGAGCCTTCAAGGTCTTAACTCTACACAAAAACTACAGAAAACCAAAGAATTTTTGGAATGTCAGAACTAGTCCTCCATAGAACACAACAGCTGGTTCTTCTATACCCAATAGTAGGTCTGAGAACACACACACACACACACACACACACACACACAAGTAACATTACAGAGACTGAGAAAATTGTATTTCTGTACTTAAGAATATATATGTATATACATATATGTATGTAACAATAAATAATGAAAAAGAAGGTCATGAATTTGTAAGAGATCAAGTTTGGGTGTATGAGAAGGTTTGGAGTGAGGAAAGGGAAGGAAGAACTGATATAATTATAATCTAAAAACATAAAGAAGAAAACTTATAATGCTACATGTCCATATTAAAAATAAGAAAAAGCACAAATAAACAGATTAGTGATATAGCTCAAGAGTTTGGAAAAACATGAACAAGCCAAACCCAAATCCAGTAGACCAAAAACAATATAAACAAGATGGGGGTAAAATAGGAGGAAGAGGGAATCATAGGATAGAAGACAGATCAGGCACCAGAGTGACCTCGAGCGATCTAAAGGGATAACACCAATTGGCAAGCTAAGCAATAGTGAAGAGACTACCTCGAATGTCCACTCCTGATAATGAATTTGATGTCTATAACCATCCGGGAGCCTTCATCCTGTGACTGATGGAAGCAGAGCCAAACACACAATTAATCACTGAACTGAACCCAAGGAACCCAGTGACAGAGAGAGGGGAGTGATGAGCAAATTGGCAAAGAATGGGCTGGCAAAACCAGCAGAGACAGCTGATCTGAACAGGGGAGAACTCTTGGACCCCAGACTGACAGCTGGGAGGCCAGAATGGGACTGATCTGGACCCCCCAAATGTGAGTGTCAGCGAGAAGGCCTGGGCAACCTATGGGGCCCTGAGCTGTGGTTCAGTGTCTATCCCTGGAATACAAACAGTCATCGTGTGCCTATAGCACAAAGAGGGGTGCTCTCTCAGCCTGGACTCTTAGGGGAGTGTCTGGACCCTACCCAGAGTGAAATGACAGACTCTAGATATCCCCTATGTGGAAGGATTTGGCATTAGGGTGGGAGGGTGGGGGGGAAGGGGAGTGCGGGAGGAGGGGAGGCAAAGGGAACTGAGATTGACATGTAAAACAAGCTATTTAAAATTAAAATAAAAAATGATAAAAAAGACTGCAAATTAATGAAAATCAAATAAGTAAAATAATACAAAGAATGTAGAAATTTGTTCTTTAAAAATTAAACAATATTGACAGACTATTAGCAAATTAACTAAAAGAAAGAGAAAAGCCAAATTTTAAAAATTGAAATTAAGGGAAGACTAATACGGCCATGCATTGGTGGCCCAAGTCCTGAATCCCAGCACTCAGGAGGCAGAGACAGGCAGATCTCTGTGAGTTAGAGGCCATCGTGATCTACAAAGCGAATGCCAGGATAGACTCTAAAGCTACACAAAGAAACCCTGTCTCAAAAAAAAAAAAGTAAAAGAGAGAAGACTAATAGCTACAAAGAACCTCAAAAAATTATAAGTGAATAGTTTTAAAATCTAGTCTGCATTAAACTGGGAAAGTTAAGAGAAATAAGAAATTTCTATAAATGTTCAAGGCACCATAGTTAAATCAAAATTAGATCAATTGAAAAAATTAATAATTAAGGAGACTGAAACAATAAGTTTTCCCAACTGAATTAAGCCCAGGTCCAGGTGGTGTCACAGCAGGTTCTACCAGACTTCTTAGAACATTTTCAAATTGCTCCAAAAGCTAGAAATAGAAAGACTACTTCCAAACCTCCTCTTTATAGCCAGTATTGTTTTAATACCAAAGTCGAGTAAAGTCAACACAGAGAGAGATAGATGATAGATGATAATAATGATGAAGAAAATAGATAGATAGATTGATTGGTTGATTGATTGATGATAGGACAGCAATAAACAGAACACTGTAGCACAATACTCCTGATAATTAACATGAATGCAAAAAAATCTCAAAATAATTGCAAATTGAATACAAGTATGCATCAAAAACATAATACACAAAAGCTAAATGAGCTCCTAGCTAAGGAGATAATGGCAACTGTAACTGCCAGGACAGGGAAATCGATTGTCTTTAAGAATGAGTCTCCTGCTAAGTCAATCATGCTCCAGTGGAGAACCACACATGCAAGAATTTATGGAAAGAACAAATTGTACTGTGTATGTATTTTTTTAAAGACACAAATATCTGAGTAGAAAAGGTAAGATCTGAGAAGAGGTAAGAGGGTGATGAATATCATCAAAGCATCTTGTATGAAAGTCTCAAAGAACTCATAAAATATTTTTAAAAGAAAAGGAAATTAAAGTGATAGAAACAAGAAGTCAAATTATTCATATTTGTACATATGGTACTATACATGAGAGAACCCAAAGCTTAAAAAAATCTTATAAAAATAATTAGCAGTTTCAGCAAAGTGACAGGATATATAATTAACTTATAAAAATGACAAGCTCTGAAAATCCCTCATGGAAGGCCTTACCCTCTCCCGAGTAGTGGAAGGGAGATGGAGTGAGATGAGGGCTGGGAGGAATGAGAGACCGGGGAGGAGGGGACGAAAGGGAACTGAGAGTAATATGTGTAAAAAGTTAAATAAAATATAAAAAAGAAAAATCCATATCTTTTCTGTATATGAATAACAAGTATATTGAGAATAAGATTATAGAAGCACTTCCATTCACAACAACCTATAAAGGTAAATAAACAAAAAATAAAAGACATCTAGTAATAAACCTAACCTGAGATATAAGACCTTTATAATGAAAACTTTGTATCACTGAAGAAGGAAGGAATAAAGTTGGGGAATTTACTAAAAGACAGAAACCTCCCATGCTCAAGGATTAGTAGAATTAATATTGTAAAAATGATGATTCTATGAAAATCAATTTACAAACTCAGTGCAATACCAAATCAAGCTCTTCGTGATAGTTTTTAGAAGCATCCTAAATTTTCGGTGGAAGCCTCAAAGATCGTAGATAATCACAGCCATACTAAGCAAAAAGCATAGTGCTAAAAGGATTGTGATACCTGATGTCAGGGTATATTACAAAGATAGATACAAAAACAGCATGGTATTAACACAAAAATTGGGAGGAGGAGAGAGGCGAATATATAAGAAAATGAGAGGAGAGTAAAAAGTATTCCAGCTCAAGTTATCTGATGGAGGGAATGGGAAAGGAGGTTCTTACGGAGGGCCAGGGAGGCAAAACAGAAGAAGTGAGAGGAGGGAAAGAGAAAGCAGAATACGCATGTTCTGATAGGGAATATGGAAAGGGACAGCTTTTAGGGAGGGGATAAAGAAATATACTGTGGATCAAAGGAAGACCCAATATTAAAAGCTTGCAATTATAACTACCTGATATTGACAAAGACACCAAAAGCACAAATGATAGGAAAGACCGAATCTTTAACAAATGATGCTGATTGAACCAGATGTCTTCAGGTAAAAATGAATTCAGACCAATATCTCCCTCCCTGCAGAAAAATCAACTCCAAATAAATTGGAGACCTCTCTGTAAGAGCTGAAATGCTAAAACTGCTAGGTGATTTTCCTTTCAGACAAACATAAAGACAGAAAAAAAAAAGAGTAAGCTTTGCTTCATACTGAACTATGGGTTCTTATTTACAAAATTACCATCATTCATTTACATTATCATTTTGTTATCATTTTCTTGGTGTTCTGTTTGTTGTCTTTATATTTGTTACACTTGATGTTGTAAAGTAATAAATAATTTCTGTCTTTATTATGATAGATTATACAGTCTAAGATAAAAACTCATAATTGACATATGCAAAGGAAAAGTGGGTGCATAGTTCTGGGAAGAAAGGACAAATGCTGAAAATTATTTTATTCCTTGTTCAGTATACCTTGAAATTCTTTATGGTTAAGAGAAGGGCTATTACTTTATAAGTAGGAAAGGCAGTTAAAATGCTCCTATGAAAGATAATACATTAAAAGATTCACAGCTAAGCCGACCCTTTCCTGGGAGTAGGTTCCATCAGTGTAGGATGAACAGAATGAAAGAATTGTAGAACCAATCTCTGGATCAGAGACATGTACCCAACCTGCCTCATCATTTTGCTGGGCACCAACTCTTAGCATTGGCATGGCAAAATTAAAACAGCTATGTCACAAATATTAATGCACACATATGTAGAGTCAAACAAACGGTGCCTAAGAACAAATGGATACTTTGGGTGAGAAGCACATAGTATAAAATGGCAGGGTTGCAACTTCAGTTTGAATTTAAGTCCACCAACCATGTAAACTGGCCAATAAATGAGGTGGGGTTTCAAGTGAGTGGTAGGGAAAATGAAAAGAGTATTGTAAAAGAATACCTTACAACTTCCTTAAGTATAAAAAAGAATAATTCAAGTAAAACTCAAATTCATTCCCTACCTAACAAATACTCACCATGTGCTCGTGTTTTAGGCACCTCAACGAACATTCAGACAGGGACAGAAGATGGTCTTAGAGATCTTCTTCCCTGTCATGTCCTTGGCAGGCATTGCTAATCAAATGAGAAAATATTCCCCACTGGATTTAGATGTAGCCTCTGGTTGCTTCAGATGCATTCCAGACAATCACTGACAATCTGTGCAGCTGACACTGAAATGAAGGTATGTTTCCTTTATTCCCTAGGATAAAAGAAAGAAAAGTAATAAAGTCACAGTTTTATCCCAGAGCAAGTGCATATTTGTATATTAGGAGAATCAGGAGTTGATTAGGGATCTGGGAACATCTGACTGGTGGCTCTAAGTTGAAAGTAAATAATCAAGTGTACTTTAAAAACATAAAAAGAATGAAGGGCAGCAAAATGCTATCAGACTAGAAGCAGTAGTTGTAATAGTGAACTCACAATAACTGCAGGCATCTGCCCTATATTGGCACAAGATAGGCCCAGTAAACTATCACTCATAGGAGGGGAAAGGGCTCAAAGAGCCCAACCTTTCATTTCTGGGCTGTTGCCTATTTATAGAATCTGGGTGAAGTAGTACCCTTTTCTTCAGTTATGTACATGAGGCTCCAGAGCATAGATGCAAACCCACAGTCACAGAGATGTCCCTTCTTAAATCCAGTAAACTGGAAAGACAGACAGACATATTTTTAATGATAAGGTAATTAAGGACAGTAGGTATAGAATAACATAGCATATATCATTTAAATGTGTGAAATTGTCAAGGAACAAAATCAATAATTTTATAACGAACAAATATTTTATGGTTGAATAATATTCATCTGCATGAGCATAAATTTGGAGGGTTTGTATATATTTGGTGTAATGTGTCCTAGTGTGAATTTCTTTGACTTCATCCTAGTTGGGGTTCATTGAGCCTACTGGCTGTATTGTCCATGTATACCAGATGCTAGCAGACATTATTTTTATACATATTGTTAATGTCCCTTGCTCTATATTATCCTTCTAGGACACTTTTAAATTGTAAGTTGAATTGCTTAATTATGCTATTCATTATCTGAAAATTTTGTTCTTTTTTCCCTGCTGTATTCTTCTGACAGAATTATATTATTATCAAGATCACTAATTCTTGCTTCTGCCTTCTCTAGGCTGGTGCTAGCCTCCAGCGAGCTGTTCGTTTCAATTATTGTACTTCTAAACTCCAGAATTTTTTCATTCCTCTCCCTAATTTGTATCTCTTTAATACTCTTATTTTGTTCATGAATCATGTTCCTGGTCTTATTTTGTCTATGGTTTTCTTTAGCTTGTGAACATAATACAGACAGGTATTTTTCAAAGTCTTAACTAGTAAATCTTATATCAGGACTTCTTAAGGGATAGTTTCCTTCAATACCCTTTCTTCTTTTGAACAGATCACCCTTTCTTCTTTCTTCAGATGCTTTGTGACTTCTCCTATTGAGCTTTTAAATGCTGCAATGTAGTCACTCTAGAAATCAGATTTTTCGTTTTCCTCACTCTCTCCTTCTGTCTTTTCTTCTTTCTTTCATTTAGTCCTTCTTCACCAGAAGTCTGCATTTCTAGCTAGCTTTTAGTCAGTGTTGAAGGCCATGCTGTGTATTGCAGTAACCTCCCCAGCTGCCTTTATAAAGCTTTCCTCTGCCTTGTTCCCTGAAGTCTCTGTTCATCTTTGATTCAGCTTGTGTTTTGGCTGAATAGCTTGAAAAACAAGAGAAATAGAAGTTAAATAGCAAACTTCCTTTCAATTTTTACACATCGGCTCTGTGCCACAGTGTTGCTTCAATACCTACTCACCCTTGTCCTGAGCTTGAGATTTAGCCTAGGGTTAAAGCTTTTGGTTTTCTCTGCTCTTTTGTCAAAGTATGTCTTGCACGTATTTAGAGTACATTTTCTAAAGTAATCCCTCTTAGTGTTTGCTTCTAGATATCAGATGGTCTATCTTACATTTAAATCATAATCTTCTGCCTGAAATGTTTACAATTGTTGATGCACTTTACAGAACTCTTGGGTAGGGTTAACAAACTTTACAGCTCAAGTGATGAGTTAGGTGGAAATAGAAACTAGTGCCTCACCCTCAGACAGTGTTTCAGACAGCCACCCAATAGAATAAACATATGCAACAATCTGCCAAATCATAGACCAAAGCTCCTCAGTAATTACTGCTCCCAATTTCAACTCTGCAAACACAACAGGGAAGGGGTGATGCAGTGGTAAGCAAAAACAATGTGGTTGTTTCTAATGACAAGTTTTCCCTTTGCTTGATTCAGCATTACCTTGGTATCTTAGCGTCTTCCTATTGTGTAATGAAATACTCTGACAAAGGAAACTTAAGGGATAAAGGTTTTATTTCAACTTATGGTTCCATAGGGATATATTCTATAATGGCAAGAAAGTCCTGGTGACAGGAACAAAAGGCTGGTTGGTCACACTGTGTCCACTCGGGAAGCAGAGAAAGAACAGGGAATGTGTCCAGATTATAACTCCTCAAGACTCCTCAGTGACTCACTTTCTCCAGTGAGGCTACTGCTTCTAATAGTCACACGCAAAGTGTTCCACCAGCTGGGGACCAAGTGCTACAAGACCTGAGGCAACGAGCTACACTTCAATTAAAAGCAGTGTTCTGCCACTGATACCTGTTAGCTTATGGTTGCCTCTTAAAGTAAAACGTGTTCATAGTAATGGTAAAAGTCCCCATAATCTTATTCTTTTACACTCCCAATAAAATTCAAAAATCCAAATTCTCTTCTAAGACTCTAGGCAATATTCTAACTATAAACATTATAAAACAAAAAATAAATTCATACATAAATAAATAAGTAAACAATTACACATTTCCAACATAAAATGACAGAGTATACACTCCCATTACCAAATAGAAGAATTTTAGCATAGGAAAGACTATTAGGACCAAAGTAATACTGGACTTGGAATGAAATTGGCTGGGCTATAAACGTCTTAGGTAGTCTACAGAGTGAGTTGCAGGACAGCCAGAACCGTTTCACAGAAAAACATTGTGACAGAAAAACAAAAACAAAACAAACAAATAAAAATTATATCCAGAACTTGGGGAGGGACCATTACTGTGATATTTTGACATGATAGATAGACAGACAGACAGACAGACAGACATACAGACAGACAAATAAAATGGCCATTCTGAAAACTCTAATGAAGCTGAATTGATAAAATGTTCTGCTTGAGGGCTGGAGAGATGGCTCAGAGGTTAAGAACACTGGCTGTTCTTCCAAAGGTCCTGAGTTCAATTCCCAGCAACCACATGGTGGCTCACAAACATCTGTAATGACATCTGGCACCCTCTTCTGGCCTGCAGACATACATACAGACAGAAAAGTATATACATAATAAATAAATCTTTAAAAAAATGTTCTGCTTGATAGAAGAAATATGAAGACAGGCAAATACTCGGTTCGATGTTGACAAAACAGCACTACTGAAGAGATACCTCCTGAATTATGACAGTTTGAAAGATATCCCATGGGCAAAATGCCATGAATTGGAGGCTCCATCTTGGGAAGAACAAACTGCATTTGAAAAAATGAACCCTAAAATGAAGGGGTTCCCTCATTCTCGGCGGCAATTGCCTAGAGCAGTGCTTCCTTGGGGTCACCACACAGAAATTGGTTATCTATAGTCTGAGGTGCAAAGTTATATCCTAAGATAGCAGCAGATCTTGGCTCCATTATTCATATGGTACTGATTTTGACCGTACAGAAAGTGCAAGATTGATGGAATTATAATCCTACTCCACAAATTCAGAGAGCAATAAGGTCTATATGTATAGTAGGCTTGGAGTCTCCTCAAGCAGGCTTCTAGAGTTCATTGTATGAACCCATGGTGATATTTAAGTTGCACTGAATTGCAGATGACAGGACCATAGAACATCTGCCAAGGGAAGCCTTAAGTATGTAGTGGACTAAGTCTAAAAGAGAGGCCATGTAGGCTGTAGGCTGCAGACCTGGAGGGATAGACTATCTAAGACATTTGTAACCCAGACAATTGCATTCCAAGCCCAGTATTGCTTTGGTCCTAATATTTTCTCCTATGCTAAAATTCTCCTGTTTTATAAGGTGAGTGAATACTCTATGTCATTTTATGTTGGAAATGTGCAAGTGAGTGTGGGTGCGTTGGAAAATCCAGAGGAACATCAGACTCCCTGAAGCTGGAGTTACCGGTTATTATGAGACATCTAGCATGGATGAACTGAAATCTGCAAGAGCGGTGCATGCTTCTTGCCATTAGGCTGTCACTTCAGTCCTGAAAATCAATATTAACTTTCACAGAGTATAATATTCACACTCTCACTCATGCTCTTTGATCATCTCTTGTTTAAACATGATATATAATACAGTGTAAATATTAACCAAAGAAGGCTTTATGGTTTATTATAAAAAAACGGCAAAGGAAAAAGTCTGAACACCTTCATAAATATGGGATCACCACTGTTAGCCATACAGAACATACAACATGAGGCACCAATGATCAAATAGTGAGCAGTGAAGAGAAACCAAAGATCTATGAAGTGTCAGGAGACTCCAATAAGGTGTGCTAAGTTCACTTCATTCATTTGCGTCAACCTTGTGCTTGCCCTTTGGAAAATGGAAACTTTGCATTTGCAGGACTTTCTAGAATTTTATCAAACATTTTTGTCTACTCTTGTTTGAATCTGTTTGAATCCAAGGATGTAAGTGTCAGGAATATGAAAGTCTGTACAACCTTCCACGTAATCATAACTTTCATAGAGGGAGAAATATTTTCTTAGTAGTGTACCACCCATACCATCATATTCACATTCTCTATAACATCATTCAAACACTATAGATATGAGTAACATTGGGTTACTCAATTCGTATGTTCTGATACTGGATGGTCAATGGATAGCTACTACCTAACTCTAACCTGGTGCTCTGTGAATTATGCACAAATTCTGTCCTCTGAATCAATTGACATTTTTGTATTCTTCAACCATGGCAAGGCTGCCCCATTTGAGAGTCTTGGTACTTCCTGTTTTGGGGTATAAGGTGTTTTTTCAAAGGCCTTCAAATAAATAACTACATCTCTCAAGTGACTCTCTGAAAATCTGAGAGTCTTCATGGTACAGAAACAATGCCACTCAAAAGTCTCAGTCTGACATTCAATTGCTGTGACAATAGAGTTTCAGTGGCTACTCACTGACTATAAAAA